ATTTCACATGTGGAGCTTCTTTTGAAATCTGTGCAAAAAGCTCAGATGGCTCTGATCCAACAGCTGGGTGTGTGTGTGCTGGTGGGCATATTTTGGTCTAGGATCAGGTCCATGGAATAAATCTCAGAATCAGGCCCTGAGATATCAAAATGTAAAAATACATATTTTATTAAACACTATCATAGGTAAAAAAATCCAAACGCATTTCTGTAAACACACATACTGGAAAAGCAAAGCTGTATTCATCGTGTTCAAATCATACCCTGTCTTATGATCATCAATGGGCTTGCACAGATTGTAAGACAGGGTGGAAAAGTCACATCAATGGAGAAGGGTCTCCCTGGACATGTTTCCCTATGCTTAAATGTTCATTTTGAAGAGTCTCCTCTGAAACCCCACAGATGATGTTCAAGTGCTGGGCTCCAAGGTCTCACACTGTAACAGAATCCGCAGAACTGAATCAGGAGTCACATTTTCCACTGCTCCGGGGATGGCATTTTGCCTAATATTTCTAACCTGAATGGCTTCTTCCTCTAATTTAATGAGCACCACCCTATGAAACAAGTCCATCTGAGTTTAATGGGAACTTCGGTGAGCGGGAGAGAGTTAGTGATTGGTGGAAAGGTGATAGATTTATTCTTCAAAGCTAGCTTTCTGAAGTCCAGCTGGCAGAGATACATTCATCAGCCATGTTCAAATCTAGAATCAAAGTCTTTTCCAAAGGCTTTCTCCATTTGTTTATCAGTTTATAAAAATATACTATTTAAAACACTCTGCTCAAGCAGGTCTATGATTTCTCTATAACAATGCCTAAAAAAAGTTTGCTGTCTCCTAATAAAGGAATTTCCTTCAGATCCCTCCTGAAGCCCTCAGAGAAAAGTTTGAACACAGGTTGGCCATACAACAAGCTCAGAAGGTCAATACACTCCACCACTGTTGAACCAGCAAGTTCTAGATTTTATGGCTCGCACTAGAAAATGCCCTTTTATTAGACCCCTACTGTTCAAATGTGAGGACCATTCATTTAAACACTCAGCTAATCTCAGTTGTCATGCAACACCACAAGGTAGGGACACTTTCTTGTGCAGCCAAACCACACAGAACTTCACAAGTCAAAAATACTTTGAAATTATACCCAGAAACAAATGGCAAGCTAATGCAGTCTGTGTAGTTTCTGAGTTGTCTTCAGGTATGGCTCTACATAGAGTGCATTCAGTAAACTAATTTTGAGGGCCTGGATAGCTGTGGCATGATCCACAACCAAATGGAAAGGATCAGTAGCGATTAAGAGCATAAAACTGTTACAAAACAAGAGAGCAGGGCACCACTGAATTCTCAATTTTTCGCTTCTCTTTTGAGGATTCTCCTTCAGGTCATGGCAATAGCTCTCTGGACAACAAAGGCTGGATGTAACCTCTGCTGGAGCTCATGATGCCATTTAGTGGTCTCCCTTATGGGAAAGGTGCACAATCTATAGCATAAGCATTCATTTCTAACAGGCTAAAAAGGGGGTCAAACAAATTTGGGTTGAACTATTAATTTGCAAAATCACAAAGTTGGGCAGTAGCTTGCAGAAGCAGCATAGGGTATTTGAAGCAGGCAAAAAAAGATCCAAAGGAACCTCATCTGCATGGCATTCCCAGGTGATTAGTTTTCAGGCAGAAAGCGATAAACTATTGGACTTCGTAGTTCAAATGTTACAATGTGGTACTCAGAACTAGTCAGTAGGCTTGTCACTGCTCTTGTTGAATTCAATGGCAAAACTCCCACTGAGATCACCTGGAACAGGACAGGACCCAGTAAGCAAATGTATATTGTTATATATGGTCCCCACAATGCCATTCATGACAGCCTGCAATATAAGCTAGTAAAATCTATAGTTTTAAGCAAGTACGGTTCATAAACTGTACCTTACTTCTCTAATAGATACTCAAAAATTACCCCTCTCACAAGCCAAAAGTGTAAGTAGAGCAGAAGAGCAACTTTCCAACAATGTGGACGTGAGAAGTAATTCAAGAGAAATTTGCAAGCAGCAGTCACTCAACGAAGTGCTGAAATCCCACTTCACCTGGGTATAGGTGGGAGTGGTGGGGAGAACCACCTAGGGAGGAAAGAAAGACGGCTCATCATGTATATTTATTTCAAGCATGCAGAAGCTCCCCATGAAACTATTTACGAGCTCTTGTATTATCCCCTCCATGAATTTTGTGTAGGTTTTTTGAATGGTTTAATTACCAAGATAAGAAATATAAGTGATATACAGAATAATTACTATTAATAGAGCCCTGTGTGGATACAAAATTAGTATCTGCATCTGTTTCCATAAAAATGAGCCAACGCTATTCATGTTGACAACTGCAGATGCAGATACTTGATGTAAAGCAGAGATACTCAAATCTGCAGGGTTCTAGATACAAGTTTGGATTGATAACTGGTTAAAAGACAAGAAGCAAAGGTAGGAATAAATTTTAAATTTTCAGAATGGAAAGAGGTAACTAGTGGTGTCCCCCAAGGGTCTGTACTGGGACTAATCCTACTCAACCTACTTATAAACGATCTGGAGAAAGGGATAAACAGCGAGGTGGCAAAATTTGCAGATGATACCAAACTGCTCAAGATAGTTAAGACCAAAGCAAAATGTGAAGAGCTTCAAAAAGATCTCATAAAGCTAAGTGACTGGGCAACAAAAATGGCACATGAAATTTAATGTTGGTAAATGTAAAGTAATGCTCATGGAAAAAATAATCTCAACTATATATACACAATATGATGGGGACGAATTTAGCTATAACTACTCAACAGAGAAATCTTGGAATCATTGTGGATAGTTCTCTGAAAACATCTACTCAATATGTAGCAGCAGTCAAAAAAAGAAAATAGAATGTTAAGAATAATTAAAAACGGAATACACAATAAGACAGAGAACATCTTATTGCCCCTATATATAAAACCAGGGTACTCCCACATCTTGAATACTGTGTACAGATGTGGTTGCCTCATCTCAAAAAAATATATTGGCATTGGAAAATGTTCAGAAAAGGGACACATTATTAGGGGTTTGGAACGGGTCTCTTATGAAGAGAGATTAAAAAAGAGTGGGGCCTTTCAACTTAAAAAAGAGGAGACTAAGGGGGTTATATAGAGGTCTATACAATCATGACTGGTGTGAAAAAAGTGAATAAAGGAAAGTTATTTACTGGTCCCCATAATGTAAGAATGAAATGAAATGAAATCAATAGGTAGCAGGTTTAAAACAAATAAAGGAAGTTGGGTTTTTTTTAAACACACAGTGCACAGTTAGCCTGTGGAACTCCTTGCTAGAGGATGTTGTGAATACCAGGACTTTAAAAGAGATCAAGAAAGAACTAGATAAATTCATGGACATTAGGTCCATCAATGGCTATCAGCCAGGAGGGGTAGAGATGGTGTTCCTAGCCTCTGTCAGAGGCTGGGAATGGGTGACAGGAAAGGGATTGCTTTAAGATTCCCTGTTCTTTTCACTCCCTCTGGGGCATCTGGCATTGGCCACTGTCAGAAGATAGGATAATGGACTATATGGACCGCTGGTCTGACCCAGTATGGCCAGTCTTATATTCTTATCTGCATCCATAGCCACAAAAAATGAGTTGCAGATACCCATGAATATAAAGCAGATATCCGTGGTTTTGAAGGGCTCTAACTATTAAGTAAGTATTTAATACTCCAAATGCCTGTAAAGCATGTTGTTCTTCTGCCTGTGTACTTTTTCCTTCTCTTGAAATGTGGCTGTAACTCTTGTTAGTATTATTAAGAGTTATCAATTATACAAGGGCACTAAGTCTTACTATGACTGTAAAACAAATGCAAATTGTAATATAAACACTGAAGTTCTACAGTTTAAGTCTGATAAAATCTCAAAGCACCATTTCCCCGCAAGATATTTTTCAAAATCCCCCAAACTAAGCAAATTTAAATTTGAGACGGGCACACAGTTCCCTGACCTTCCCCCACGTAAAAAAAGTAACAGGTTTTATAGAACTTGATCCTGCAAACCATCTTTCAATGTTTCCTCCATGGACAGGATGTGGGATCAGGCCTTTAGACTGCTATGCAATATCTGAATTGATTAATGTCTCTCCCTATTTTTCTTCCCACAGAGATTTTACCTGTGTGTGTGTCTAAAGAGTCTGTTCTCAATAACAGAAGAGGGACTTGCACAGGGAACACCTACACTATTTGTATACATGAGAACTGAGCCATTAAAATTTCTTCAAGCCAACAACACCATAAATATTGGTAGATCCATTAGGCCCAAATGGGCCCTCCAACACATTTACAATCCCAATGGGAGCTGTATTTGCAAATATGAAGGCAGAATTATGGAGTTTTTATGTTGAATGGTGTGTAGCCAATAGCTAACAGAAAAGGGGTAAAGATAATTAGCAGAGAAATTAGTACTCAGGCTACTAAGAGAAAACAGAAACATATAGATGCAAATTGTTCCCAATTATAAATATTCTTAAATACTCCTAAAAAAAAAGTATCCCTCTACACTTTATGGCTACGTGTAGACTGGCATGATTTTCCGCAAATGCTTTTACCAGAAAAGTTTTCCATTAAAAGCATTTTCGGAAAAGAGCGTCTAGATTGGCACAGACGTTTTTGCACAAAGCACTTTTTGAGGAAAAGCGTTCATGCCAATCTAGACGCGCTTTTCCGCAAAAAAAGCCCCGATTGCCATTTTCGCGATCGGAGCTTTTTTGCGCAAAACAATTTTCAGTTGTCTACACTGGCCCTTTTGCGCAAAAGCATTTCCAGAAAAGGGCTTTTGCCTGAACGGGAGCAGCACGGTATTTCCGCAAGAACACTGACAACCTTACATGAGATTGTCAGTGTTCTTGCGGAAATTCAAGCAGCCAGTGTAGACAGCTGGCAAGTTTTTCCACAAAAGCAGCTGCTTTTGCGGAAAAACTTTCCAGTCTAGACGCAGCCTATAGTTTCTTTCACAGGTCATCTGAAGGCCTTGCACATTATCTTTCAAAATTAACATGTTTTGGCAAACAACTTACTTCTGCTTTCATTCCTACCCACTTTACTAGGGTAACTTTTGTTCGTTGGTACGTATGGCTCTGGAGGTGGCAAGTCCGATATGGGATGGAAGGAAAATCTGCTTTCCCAGTCATCTGGGGAAAAATAAATTGTTACAGGAACATTTAAAAATAACAATCCTTGATAGAAGAGCTGTGTAATATAGATATTATTATACACTCTGTCTTGCAGTACCTCCTAGAAGCTGCAGTTACAAACCAGAACCCCAGAGGGCTAGATGCTGTACAAACAGAACAAAAAGATAGCCTAATAAGCCTGAATTCACTTCATTCATTCATACATCATTTACATCACAGCACCTGCCTTGTCTTCTTGTTTACAAGCTCCATTAAAAAATAAACGAAGAAAAACAATCCAAACAGGAGTCCATTGAAGTGTTCCAGTGACTGAAGTGCAACAAGCTCATACTGTGACTCAGAACATTAGATGAAGACTTAGTATATTCTCTCCATCTCACTTCCGTGCGGAAAACTTCATTTTCAGGGTGGAGAGTCAATGCTCATGGGGACTGTGGCTTCAAGCCGTGGCACAGATAGATCTCCAAGGGCTACCTAAGCTAAGTTATGATAGTTTCCTACAGACCACAGCGCTACCTTGAATCTCTGCAATGCTATGCGCTGGGACCCCTCCTTCCCTTTGCTCCACCTGAACGTGGCCCCTATGCTATGGCTTGTGAAGGGTAGTCCTTAGAGGGCAGACTTATGGCTGTCTTTTCACAGTGCTTGTGTTGTGGGGGATTCTCCCATAGTTGGCCATGAAGCTTTGAGAGCAGTGATGAGCAATCCAGGTTAGTGAGCAGGCCACTTGAGTGGCTTTCCTTTGTAGATTGAAGTCAGTCGTGCACTAACCATCACCCCCCAAAATAAGATTAAATACATCAATACATGGCATGCTGAATATTTCAAAACAAGTAGAAATGCTTTAATCTATATCTATCTATCTGTAGGTCTGCATATCTGTTTGTTCAAGAATTCCTCCTAAACAACAAGAGCCAGGGCAACCGAATTTGGTATGCAGTTTCCTTTTCTCCTAACTTAAAGCAAGGGCAGGGTTTGTTCTGCTATGATGTGACGTAGTTGGGGGGCTGTCTACTCTAGTGGCTGTAGGCCCACTCTGGTTGGGCATTCACTGGTTGCTATGCTGGGGCTGTGGGCTATGGATGACCCCTACTGGCCTCCGTCTGTAAGCACTACCCAGCGGTTGGGGGTCGGGGGGGGGGGAGGGTCGCACTGACTGAGGGCCCTCATGTCATGTAGACAATGGCCCAACCGGTTCTCACCTGACCAGGGAAGGGTCTGAACAAAGGAAGGGTGTGGCATGGGGAGGGGGCAGTGAGAGCGTGGGGAAGCATGGAGGAAGAAGACTAGCCAGTGTAGGGGGCTTCAGGGGCCTGTAACTCCTTCCCCCCCCAAGGGAATTAGGGCTGTTGGCCTATCCTCGTATGCCTGCATTGGTCCTGTGCTGTATCTTGGAGAAGCAATAATCCCTCTCTATTCTACTAGCTGGTGGATCACATCTTGCTACGGACAGGAGGCTCCCCCACGCGCCATCACATAGGACAACTGGAAACCCTGGGAAAAGGAGAACTTTCCATAACATGCAAAGGGAGAGGCTGTTTTCGGAGGGACGCAATATGAGAGTGGCCACTGGGAGAAGTGAGCCCATGGGGAGAGCTATTCTGCAGAGTGGCCACTGGAGGGCAGCTGTGCCACCAAGGGAGTGGCTAGTAGGGCTGGGGCTCTGCCATCTTGCCTGCCAGCACACCAGTAAGTAGTCCCGCTGCCCCAAACCCTTTCCCCATCTCCCAGCCCTTGGCCACAGTGAAGGGGTAGGTGGGTGGGCTGAGTGGGGGTGGGGAGGAGCGGGGAGAGAGAACAGGCTCTGGGCAGGCCAAAGGGTGGGGGGAGAGAATAGTCCCCAGGCAGGCTGGGGGGTAGCCTGCAGCAGGGGAGCACAGGCCCTGGGTGGCCTGGAGGGTTTTGGGGCAGGGGTGGGAAGAGAGATACAGGTCCCTGGACTCCAGCCTTCTGCACCCTCCTCACATCCCCAATGCCGTGCCCAGAAGGACCTGGACAATGCTGCATAGGCCTGGTAGTTATTCATATATGAATAAAACGTTCATCAACTTCAAATAATAATAAAAGCAAAACATTTTACTTTGTATCATCAAAACCCTGCCTGGCCTTTCCCCATCTCCTCTCCTAAGTGCATCCCATCCTTGCTCCTTCCCCACCCTTCTGGAGTACCATTAATCAGCTGATTTGCAGCATTCAAGCTCTGGGAGGGAGAGGGAGAGTGGGGACAAGGCACAAATCAACCAATTCATGGTGCTCTGGAAGTACTGGGAGGGAGGATGAGGAGTAGATAAGTGCAGGGGCCCCAGTGCACGAGAAATGTGTGAGAAGGGGGCAGAAAGGGGGTACATGGGCCACACCTGGAACCCTGATGGGCTGCATTTGGCCCATGGTCAGCCCATCACTGTTTTACAGAACTCCTTTACATTGCTACAGCCCATGTATGCTGCACGAACTAAGGTCCTGAAGTTGGTGGAAGGATCTCACAGTAGGTGGTTTCCTAATTCAAGGCCACTTGCTGGTGAAATCAATATTGTACCTGCTTAGGTATAGAATAAATCTGGCTCTACATATTCTATATTAAATTAATCTTATATCTTCCTACAGAAATGTGCATCCTAGTACACAACAGGTATTTAGACTTCATCAATATAGAAGCACTGAAACAACCAGAACTGCTTACAGAGTCCAATAAAATTCCATTTTCAAAGAAAAAAATAATAGCACAAGACAAGATGCATAATCGAAGAGAAAAGTACATTATATGTAAGATGTGTGAAGATACTTCTTCAACCACTACAGCTCCATGTTTCCTGACCCCACTTTGGTTGTATAGGATTCCAATGACATGTTAATAGTTAATCAAAATCACGGCAAAAATAATCTATGCTCATATTACACTGTTCTGTCTCTGGATGCAGAGGCTCAAGGGGTGGAATAAGGATGTGCGGGCAACTTAGGTTTTGTCATTTCCATACTTGAGTGCTTCCACACTTTGCAACCATAACATTCTTGTTATGTAGGTTTTTTGCATGACATCATCCAGTTATGACATAAGTAAACTTTAGCAGCAACTGACCACATGATAGATTATTTTGGGACTCAGTTTTGCATTCCTGAGGCAAGTAAGACCTAACTAGACTTCAAATAGTTCTGCCAATGTAGGAATGGGGTAGGTTCTGACCTCTAAAGGTGACTTACACAAGAAAAAAATATCGTTGCATCCAGTTTTGCCTTTTATGATGCAAAAAGAAAGCTCAAAATTATTTTTTTAAATAGTCTTATTTTCTGCTTACATTTTACCTTAGAAAGATCAGGAATATCAAGTATGGTCTTTCCTGATTTTGTAGGGAGACTCAAATATGCATTGTGGCTCATGGCTTAATTGAAAGGAAAGGACAGATTAATCTTTAACGTAGTTATCCTTTATCCCAACTAGGAATGTAAAAGTGTAATCATTTAAATGGCTAACTAATAAGTGTTCAGTTTGGTTACACTGGCTTTGCTGCAGACTCTGCGATATGACATTTATAGCAGCCAGCTTCGCTGTAGGCTCTGAAGTATAAAGCTTATATAAAAGCTTTATACAGCAGCGCATGCAACCGCTAGGATTTTTAGTGGTTTACATTTTGAAACAACTTTTTACATCCTTAATTCCAACCATTTAGTAGGCAAAATGGAAAACCCCAAAGTTTTAAACAGTTTGACTAAAGATCTCTTCTCCTTCTCTACCGCTCAGCTTTCCCTTTGTCTCCTGTGAGGTTATAATTCTATACTTCTGTCATCCAAAGAGTTTCAGGACAGAGGAAACCAGAATTTTTAACATGGAAATAAATCTTTTAGGCCTTCTTTATACATCATAAAGAATGCAAGAATGGTACACACGTTTTCTCTTTTCAGGTTACCTTTGAAGGATTGTTTCTAAGGTTCAAGGCTTGATGTCCTAGTGGCATGCTAGAATGTTCACACGGGCATGGGAACTACAGGTACGGCAGGTGCTGCAGCCTAGTGCTCAGGGTCCCAGCTGCTGGCTCCATAGGCCAGGGGCTCTGCTGCCAGACCCATATCCTGGGGTCCTGGCTCAAGTCCCATGCACCAGGGGCTCTGCTGCTGCCCCGTGTGCTGGGGTTCCGGTTTGAACCCTATGCACTGGGGACCTCTTCTGAAAGCCCCATGCCCATGGTCCTGGCTGCCAGTCCCATATACCAGGGCTTTGCTCCCAGCCTGAGCTGCAGGTAGAGGTGGACGGGGCAAGGAGGTTCAGCACTCCCGCTTTTAAAAAGGTTCCCATGCCACTAAATGCTTATGTAAATATTGTTAACTTTGCACTTCTCTTTTCAGCTTTAAAATATTAGATAACTCCATATGGCAGGCCTTTTCAGACCCAAGTTACACCTGGGTCAGTCAGGAATAATTCCTGTGTAACACTGTTAAGAGCTCAAAATCAGATGTTGGGGGTTAAATGCTGATAGCTTTGCTTAAGTCAAGCTTAAGAGTGATACAATGAATACATCTGAGAACACAGCTCACCTTCACATGATGAATCCTGGAAGCCATTTCTGATTGCTGATGATGGTGGAGGAGGTGGTGGAGGAGCTCCGGTACCAGATCTGTCAGGAGGAAGTGGAGGCCTTGGTCCACCCCTCTGGTTTTCGAATCCTGGCCTGGAAGGTAACTGTGGCGTAGCAGGCAATGCCCGTGAAGTGCTTCCATTTCTGTTTATTGGGGGAGGAGGTGGAAGGGGTCCTAAATCAAGACAGAGAAACAAATCAATCAACTAATCTATTGTACATAAAACCTACCATTATTCGATCAGCTCTATAGAGTGCAGGTTCAATGGGGCATGGGTATACAGAAAGGTGGCTTAAATGTCACCTTTTCACTTCCCTTGGCTAGGATAGTCTCTGTGCAGGGCTGGTCTCTTTGCTCCATGTGAATGCAGCCCTAACGCTACTCTAACTTACACTGGTCACCAAGGGCTGAAATCACAATGGAGCATCAGTGCAGCACAGAGGGTCCTGGCCATATGCCATTTTCTTTAGCCACATGCTCTTTTCAGGCAACGAGACGGGAAGTGGCACACGAGCGCTCTGACGCATGAAAACATAACAGCTGCCATACTGGGTCAGGCCAACGGTCCATCTAGTCTAGTATCCTGCCTCCAACCATGGTCAGAAACACAGCTTCAGGAAGAGTGTACAGAACAGGGCAATTTTGGAATGACCCTCTCCTGGCTTCAGACAGCCAGAGGCCTAAGGTCACCCTAACCATCCTGGCTAATAACTAAGGCTCCACCAAACTCACAGCAATGAAAAGTGTCATGGACCATGCAATCTGGTCTCTTGTGTACTTTTACAGATTTCATGGGGGAGACCAACATTTCTCAAATTGGAGATCCCGACCCTAAAGGGAGCTGCAGGGAGGTGGCAAGGTTATTTGGAGGGGTGTCATGGTACTGCTATTCTTACTCCTGTGCTGCCTCCAGAGCTGGGCAGCTGGAGAGTAAGGGTGGCAATGGCATAGATGGGATCCCAGCCATCAGCCACTGCTCTTCAGTTACTAGCCCAGAAAGCAACGCGGCCACCAGCAGCAGTGCAGAGGAAAGGGTAGCAGTACCCCAACACACCCCCACTCTCTGCAACTACTTTAGGTCAGAAATCAATTACAGCAACAACTTTAAAGCTGACATTTCATGATACCAGTAAATTTATTATTTTTAAAATCTGATGACCATGAAATGGACCAAAATGGACCATGAATTTGGCAAGGCCTTATAATAGCAATTGATGGACTTTTCCTCCATAAATGCACCTAATTCTTTTTTGAATACAGTAATACATTTGGCCATCACAATATCCTATGGCAACAAGTTCCAAAGGATAAGTATGCATTATGTAAAAAAGTATTTTCTCTTATTTGTATTAAACCTATAGCCCATTAATTTCATCGGGAGATGCCAGATAGTTGTATTGTGGGAAAGGGTAACACACACATCTCTATTCACTTTTTCCACACCATTCATGATTTTATAAACATCTATCATATCTCCCCTCAACTGTCTCTTTTCTGAGCTGAACAGCCTTAATCTTTTTAGTCTCTCCACATATAAAAGCCTTACCATACTCCTGGATCATCTTTGTTGTCTTTCTCTGAACCTTTCCTAGTTCTACTATATCCTTTTTGAGATAGGGCAACCAGAACAGGACTCTGTATTGATGGGGAAGGCACACCATGGATTTACATAGTGGCATTATGATATTTTCCATTTCCTTCCTGATAGTTCCAAACAGGCTTTTTTTGGGGGGGGAGGATGGAGTTGTTTTTTCCCCACAGCTACTGAACACTGAGCAGAAGTTTTCCTAAAACAATCCATGGGGATCCCAAATTCTCCTTTTTGGGTGAGAGCAGCTAATTCAGAATGTGTGTGTCTGTCTCTGTGTCTGTCCTTCCATCCAAGCACTCCTCCTAAGCGTTAAGAGCTGGGCCCACCAAATTGAGTATACACGCAGTCCCCGAGTTACGCGGATCCGACTTACGTTGGACCCGCACTTACGAACGGGGCTTTCTTGCCCCGGAGCTCGCAGGCAGCGGGACCGCCCAGAGCGCAGCGGTCCCGCCACCTCGACCTCCGGGGCGAGAAAAGCTGCTCCAGGTGCCCCTGGTCTGCTGGGGACCGTCACCAGCAGACCAGGGACACCTGGAGCAAAGCCTCAGAGGCGCGGCACCCTGCCGCCGCTGCGGCGTTGCTCCCCGTGTCCCTCGTCCACTGCGGGGGGGGGGCCCGC